AATTACCTCCTAAAACAATCAGAATCCCAGCTGTTAGCAAACATGCAGGGATACACTCATTCATTCTGTCTAAGCTAACAGCTAATGTTAAAACACAAACTCAAAAGTTGTCATTTTAAGCCACATAAACACGTCAGCTTTTATCTATTATATTTATCTGTATGTAAAAAGGAAGTGCCGCTGGGATATAAGCTCCAGATCAGATCCTTCTGCAAAGTACATTAGATTAAAAAATATGAAATTCAATTCAAATTTATTTAAATAGCGCCAAATCACAACAACAGTCGCCTCAATGTGCTTTATATTGTACAGTAGAGCCTACAATAACACATACAGAGAAAAACCCAACAATCATATAACCCCCTATGAGCAGCACTTTGGCGACAGTGGGAAGAAAAAACTCCCTTTTAACAGGAAGAAACCTCCGGCAGAGCCAGGCTCAGGGAGGGGCGGGGCCATCTGCTGCCAGTGTGCTGACCCAGCAGCAGGCCCGAACATAACGATTTCCAAACAGCCAGAAATGTTAAAAAGCAACTGTTTGGGGGAGTGTAGCTGAGACACTGTTTCACAGGTACACATGTACCACACTGTTTCTTGTGAGCAGTCTGTGATGATAATCCACCCAATTCATGAAAAAGAGACTTTTAATTAAAGACAGAAAGGCATGAACACTGAATGACGAGATAAACCACCATAACATATCAGAGGGTTAAAAGAAACAAGTTCAAGAAAAGCTTGTCATCCATCCATATTCTCAAGTTCTTGTATACTTGTACACCCTTTGGTATCAGATGTAAAACTGCTAAGTCAGCACAGTGCTGTAGATGAGCTTTCGAGTACACCATAAATGTTTACGTTTGTGAGTGATATTCAGTCTGAAGCTCCGCCTGCAGCACAGAGGGAGCGCGTGCATAAATATCAGTATCATCAGCATAGAGGTGTGTTTCTGCTTCAGTGTGTTTTTTTTGGAAAAACACAGCTTGCTCAGATCGGATGAGATTAGAAAGTTTCACTTGTGCAGCTGTGATGGGAATTACACACATTCAGCAATTCAGTGAACTTCCTGACTGAAGTTTAAATTCTAATGAGCTACAAATCTGTTAAAAGAAAGACCGAGCACTGGTCTCTCTTAGAGAGCAAAGTCACAAATGCATATCAATGCAATATCAAAGCACAACCAGTAGGACGCTGAGAACCACGAGAAACATGCATCATTATCTTTGTTTAGATTGTGAGGCAAATGCAGCCCAGCCCTAACACCTAACACGAGTGTTGGTGCATATTAAGAGGTTAACCACTCCTATAACTGTAAGAGGATGAAAGCTAATGTTTCTAACTGAAACATTTAGCAAGAAGAGTTGTTCTTCCAAACTGCTTTTGATGCAGGTCCCAGACTTAAACTTGAGTTAAGCACAAAGACATAAAGGAGAGTGCTGTACCAGCATCACGGTCTCTTCTGTTAGAATATGAAAAGTAACTTGTTGTTTATGTTTATGCTGATTAGTTGTTTTTGTCACTTTCAACAGTTTTTGCGCTTGAATTTGGCTGATGGGAAATGTTGGTGTATACTGTACATATTTTTGGGGGAAGTGAAAATAGAAGCGAATGATGCAGATCCACTAAAAATAACGTCTTCCCAAAGTTCTTCTTTCAGGGATTTTTAAAGAAAATTCCTCTGTGTCACTTCTTGTTTAAGTTCTTGAAGCGTGACCAGCAGGCGACCCTCACGACTGCTCTGGTTTCTACTTTACCTTCATTCATCTGCAGGAAAACTTTTATGCACTGTCACCTCTTCTTCTCACCATCAATACAGACTAAATGTTTATATCAGTAAAGGATTTTAAAGATAAAACAGCCTCCTCTGTTCTCATTACATACATGATGTCATTTGAGTCTGCCTGTCGTGTGTTTGTACTACTGTATTTAATCATTTGCAGGTATCAGCGTTGTCTTTTGTCCTGTATCTCTGCTCTCACTCAACCAGTTGCAGCCGGAGGTTTCTTCCTGTTAAAAGGAAGTTTTTCCTTCCTGCTGTCACCAAGTGCTTGTTTATAGGGGTTGTTGCTGATATTTTGTTCTAATTACATACAATATAAAACACGTCGAGGTAACTGTTGTTGTGATTTGGAGTTAATGGATGAAACTGAAAGTTCCACTAAGAAGGTTGCTGTTGTTAAAGGATGTGTTTTAATCCAAACCATAATGTTTCCTGCGACCTGGATTTGCTTCTAGGATTTTGTGTTTCTGTTTTTGATTCCTGTTTTTAATTTCGCTATTTTTCTGCTCTCCTTCATGTCTTGCTTCAGTCATCTCTTGTCTTTGACGCGTTAGTATTCCTGTCGATCTAACATCTCCTTATTTTCTGTTTTACTTTGAAATTTGTTCATATTTTCATGCCTTGCATTAGTTTTCCTTGTGTTTCGGATTTTCTTGATTAGTTTCACCTGCCTTTCTCTCCTGTGTCTAACGCCTCCTCCAATCTTTCCTGCATGGTCAACACGTCTTCTATGCTCCTCAGTTGTGCTCCTCATGCCTGCTTGGATTTGATCTTTTGGACTTTGCTAGTGTTTTGTGTTCTGCATCAGCCTCAATCAAAGGGCAGCTACTTCTCCTTGTGCATTTGGGTCCCTGAAACAACAGTGGCCCTCGAGTGGCTCACTAAACAGAAACTTAAAATGTGGAAAAACCCAGTACTGTAAGTTTTGTCCCTGACTCCGTTTAAAGCTGACCCTTCCTTATTATAACCTTTGCATCCAGTAACTGCAGAGAAACAGTTTTAAAACATTCCCTTATGAGTCACATACTTTCTGTAAAGCCTGTGAATTTCAGCCGCACTCGTTTTTCAGACACGGAGGTATGAAACTTGAGGAGAAGGCTGTACTCCAGCTGTCCCATGACCACAAGACAGAAGTGGTTCTTCGTATGAAGCTACACATTGGTTGGTAAAATAGCCCAGTGATGACCACAGCCGCAAATAATAAAACAGTGTGGTCGTTGGTTTGTGTGTCTGTGCTGCTGTCAGTGTATCCACAACCAATCACAGGTTTAAAGAGGAAGAGGGCATTTTTGTGTCACACTGCTCTTGGACATCACAACTTCCTGTTTTCTAAAGCATGCTGTAAACACTGTTTTTAACCGTGCTGTATCAATAAAGTTGTTTTTGACAGTTCATGTTTACTGGCTGTCTTTCAGGTGCTTTCTCTTTGGTCACTGTTCACCAGCCTGCTGTGCTCTCTGCAGCTCTGGGTCAGGATGTCATCATGCCCTGTGAGCTCCGGCTGCAAGATGAGAAGCTCCTGTCCCAGCCCATCCTCTACTGGTGGAAGTTAAACGAGATGGCTGCTGATTTCATACGGTTGATCCCCTCACAGACCCCGAACAATAGCCGTGCAACCCTTCTGGACAATAACGGGACGTCAACAAACAAGTCGATGATTCTGAAAAGTGTGCAGTGGGCTGACAGCGGGAAGTACCGGTGCAAGCTCTCGCTTCACACAGAGAGGAATGGAAATTTTAGGCAGAAGGGGGACACAACTTCCCTTGTGGTTTACGGTAAATACAAGGCAGAAGATTTGTTGTTTTTTTGTTTATTGCTTCACATGGGCGACCAAACGTAGTCGCATTTCACAGTATTCACATCTACTGACTCTTGTTCTGCAGAGTTTGGCTGACAGAGAGGAGGTTTAAGGTTAAAGGTCAGGGGTTAGATTACATTAGACTGTGTCAGGAGGACAGAACAGCCCTCTGTGGCACGTGCACGTGAACAGTTTCCTCTGCAGACCTACAGAGCAGTCTGCAGAAAAGCTGTGAAATATTTGCTCTGATTTCCTGTCACCAAACAGAAATCCCCTCACAAATGATCTATCACTATGCAAGATAGAATTACAGTTTATTAATCATGCGCGTGATGTCGTTTCCTGATTCACAGTATTTTTACTGTATTTTTGACAAAATGTGGGCAAAATTAATGATGGGTGATGATTGATCATTACATTTAGATTTGTAGGATTACAATAGGCACTTGAGTTATTTAGAGTATGAAGGTAAAAACACAGAAAGAAAAACAATGAGGGAAAGGCGACGTGTGTAAAAAGATTCACATGAAAGAGGAATTAAACTAGAGCTGACATCCTGGTTGATATTGTTTGAAAAAAAACTTTTAATTAGTGAATAAATTTATTATTTATGTTAAATACTTCTTGTTCCAGTGATTAAACCCAAAGTTCTGAAAGAATTTTATATAAATATGTGTGTCTATGACCGTGCTGTACGTGTGTTTCAGGCACCATGGTCTTTAATGTCACCAAACACGCTCCCTGCATGCTAGGCTGTGAGGTCAGCGTGACGCGGGATGCTGGATTTTCTTTGCACATTTTTCACAACGGCCGTCGACTCCAAAATGTTACCTCAGCTCCAGGAGACGCCGACGCCGCTCTGCCGTACTTCACTCTCTCTGAGACCGTACCTCTGTGGTCGCGTGGGAAATACGAGTGCCAGCTGCACCTGAGGGATGATGTGATTACAAAGAGCATCTTCCACAGCAACCTGTCTGGTAATCAATTCAATTCAATTTTATTTATACAGCACCAAATCACAACACTGCTGCTAGCGGCCATCTGCTGCAACCAGTTGGGGTGAGAGAAGGAAGACAGGACAAAAGACATGCTGTGGAAGAGAGACAGAGGTTAATGACAAGTGTGATTCAGTGCAGAGAGGTCTGTTAACACATAGTGAGTGAGAAA